TTACAGCAGTTTTTCTGCTACTGGATTGATGGATAAATCTTTTTTGGCTTGGTATTTATGTTTGACTGAGCATATCCCATATTGACACTTGAAACAACAAACAACTGTAAAGGTATCTGGAAAGTATAAAAGCCATTTAGCACCATGGGAACTTGAATTTGATCCAGACTCTTTATATCATGTAGGATGAACAAGTAGCATATTCTACATTCTAGCTATGACATTCACTGGCATCAATGCTTCTAGTAAGAAGACTGGAAATGCATTGCTGGCTCACATTTGCCACCCTGAGGTAAAAGCTGGTTATAGTTACATCCTGTGTCGCACCAGGTCATCCATGCAACCGAGTTTGTTGCATTGGCAAACAGACTATATCCCCTGTGGTTGGGTTGTTTCCTCACCCCTAATCAAGTTCAATGTTTTTTTACTTCATGTTTCTGTCTCCACATCCATTCACTCCTGTCCACTGCATGTCAGTAATTCCATGAGTTAATATTCGCTTAGAAGATACAACTAAGTAGAAGATTCAGCAAGATACTGATAGAGTAACGAAACTATAACTTAATAATGGGTCTTTAGGATCTTCTGTGATCCTCACATACAGGCAACACTGACCATTAGTAGGAAAGCTGTACTGAGTGATTCCCAACCAACCATATGTTCTGCTTCCACATTTGTGCCATATCCAAAGTCTGTATTCTGTCTCTTTAGAGAACTATACTCTAAGCAATATACTCTTATACATGCACAAAGGCACCCTCTTGCATTCTCTTTAAATATTTTCATATCAATTCTGCATTATCATATCACCAATCTTCTAAAATTCTGGTGGGTTTGACTATTTTCCTGATTTTATTTTCTCATTCCATCTAGATTACTTTAACATTTTCTAAATGAGAGTCTGGATGAGGTTGTTACTCTGAGCCACTTAAACTTCTGCTGTAAGGCCTTTAGATTCACCTGTCTGCACCTCACTACTCTCCACTCCGGACCCTAGCCTAATATATGAAACCATCCACATTCAATAAAGCCAATTTGCATATACCATATCACCTTCTTTAGAATGTCCTCTAGACTGCCTTGTGGCCACTGCATGTTCATTGGTCAGACCTGTTTTCTATACAGAAACAGTGATAGATGAAAATTTTCCACCCCCCAAGACTTTCAATATTCCAAAAGTCTAAGTTCTACTTACATTTTGGACCTTCCATCAAGACTCTTCAATCTGGTATGCATCTAGAACATAGGAGTCATTCCACCAGGTGCGTATTTTTCTTCTCCTAGAAAAAGGCATACCATATGATACCTGGGGCAGAACAATCACCCAATTTAGGAAATGCTAAATTATTTTCTTTTTCGTAGCTCTATAGTTAAATTCACCCACAGCTATCAGTAATCCAAATGAATTAGGGAATATTATAGATTAATTTTCTTTTACCAACCACCAGCCTTTTATAAATCAGCAGGAGGCCACCATTTCCATCTCTTCCTCCATCAGGGAACACTTGTTAAGACCTTGACCTACACAGGAACATAGCACCTGACACGCTTTTAACTTTTCCAAAGAACATGGCTTGGAGGTCAGAATAATTCTTGTCTTATTATTCTTTGAGTGACCCCTTTTCTGCCTTTAATTTTTTCACCCCATCTTGACTGCTTTACCACTTCACAAATCCAATTTACACGACATTCTCTGTCACTGAGAACCTGGAAAGTGTTTTCTCCTATAAATGTGATCTATGCTGACTCCCTGACTGTAGGAGAGATACTTCAAAGGGAAGCACCGCCGTCTTACCTTTAATGGTCTGCAACCTTTACACTTCAAAAATTTGTGAGTTTGTCAGATGTGAGGAATTGGAAAATCAAGAATGCTTACAAAAGGTGTTGGAAATCTCCTACACTTCAACAGTTAAAGGAATGGACCTAACATCGACAACAACTGCGAGACCTACAATTATTGAGGATTTTATAACTCATGAAAACTGTAAATAAAAAATAGCCCACAAAGTCTTCTAAAACAAAATGTGTAATAGAAAATGGAAACAACCTGGCTTTCTGGTGACCTTGTCTCTAGGAATATAGCGTGATTTTTTTCTCTAATTCTTGTTTCAAAATTATGTAGCAAGAAAGACTTTATTGTGATTAACATTGATAGGGAACACAGTTTACCATGGCAGGGAAGATGAGGTGGCTTGTTTCATTGCTTTTACAATCAGTAATAAGGCTGAGATTTATGGTCTTTTTTGATTCTTTACTTCTTTTGTCCTTCAAATTCAGTCTTTGCCACAGCGTATCACAGTGGTGATGTCCACAGTTATGGTGGGTCTATGATAACCAAGTATAGAATCTCCCTTATTATCATCACCAGAGGACTGTTTGCTAGGTGACTCTTGTGCATACAAAGCTGACATTTGATATTAAGTGACACAAACAACCCTTATCAACATGACTCAAATCAGGCCTCAAGCAGTGGCTTTATGCATCATTTCCTCATAAACTCATGAATGTGTCGTAAAGCAAACATATTGAGTATATTTATGATTAATGTATTCTTTCACAATATGAATACTGTTTATAAGTCAAGTGCCTGTTTTGAGACTTGAAACAATCTCTTAACTGTGAGATCTTTTAAAAATAAAGTCCAAAATACAGTTTTAATGTATCACATAACCAAGGAATAATGCCATTCCAAAATTGAGGAATGGGGGATATCCAGGATTATCTGCTTGGGAAAATACTGCAACCCATCAGAGCAGGCATCAGATTTGCTGTTTTGTCATGTCTGGTAGTGAATCTTATGATGGAGTCATCTAAAGACCTTGAGTAGCCAATCTCCTCCAAACATGTTGCCTATAGCACATATAGCCTTCATTGTCTAGTTTCACCATGCCTGTAGGTTTTACTCAGTGGATGTATAATGGATTTGACATGTCTGATACTCTGATATCTCTATTGCAACTCTACTGCCATCTTCATTGTGTTGCACAATGGCCTTTCAAACTTCCTTACAGGGACTACAAACATGCCACCCATTGACTGGCCCCAGGGGATCTCAGCACCCTTGTGGTAAACCGAAAGGGTACTGTCATTCTTCTATCTTCCATTCCTGTAAAATTAGTGCCAATTGTGCAATGCTGCCAAGGTCTCGAGCAGGATGGGCTCCTTTTTACCATTTGGATCACTGAAGGGCTACTGGCACAAAAGCTTAAAGTGAGAAGAAATATTGATAGATGCCATAGACAGGATGCTAGGATCCAGGAGGCTTCTGACAAGGGAGCCCAATGGATGGTGTGGACTTACACACTAAAGAACTTCCCTTTTCCCAAGTAGAGCATCCACCTCTCCTGATACAGCCACACAAACCTCCAATGGCAATTCCAACTTGATGCTGCAGGAGAATAGATCTGTAGATGGAATCTTCCATGTCAACAATTTTCACTGCCCATAAAACCCCCAGGTACCCTGTGTCACATGCCCACCACCCTTGATCAGTTCTGATCTAACAATCATAGTCTCCATGGTGATCCTACCTCTAATAAATTGAGAGAGAATAATAGTTAAACAACTCCATATTTTCTCAGTCAAAATAGGGTATTTCCTGAAACAAACTTTATTGTAGGCAACACATTTTTATGGAAGAAATAACTGAAAGAAACAGTTAGATCATTTTATTATTTATTGTGAGGTATTGCCTGTTTTTTTCTCTTTTTGTAAGTGTTGTTTTTAAGGATTCCAATTGATGGTGAGTTCTATTAAAATTGTACTTGTTGGAAACATTGGGCCTTAAACGGTTTTGATTATAATCTGTAATGGTTTCACTGGTAAGGATTGTACAGAGATAAGATCTAATGTTCTACAGACTTGGAGAAACTTTTAGAAGGAAAGGAAAGACAGTCAAGAAGCTGAATGCATATACTGCACCAGGCAGGGTTGAAAAATATACTAGGTAAACCACAGGGTTTCTAAAGTTACTTTGCTTCAACAGTGAGTCCCTGGAGGCCGTCTATGTAAAACTGGTTGTTGTTGGAGTATGGATGGGAACTGAATCAAACTAGAGATAATAAAGTGAGATAGTATATGTTCTGGTTGCATAATAAGAAGAACTTGAGCTTGTAATGGGATGGAAGAGTAGTATGAAATGTGAGGAAAGAACTTGTTGAGTACAAGTCAAGGTAATTAACAAACAGAGGTAGATGTTCTGACTAGTTCTCTGTTGGTCTGACTGTTACAGTAAATAGGTTATAGTTTAGTTGAATAAGTTACAATCAGCTCTAAGCCCAGTTCTGCACACTGAGCTAATGTTTATAAACCTGGTTAAAAAAAATCTGTGACTGGAGATGTTATCGGTTCCAAAAATGAAGGCTTTTGACATTGTTTGGTTAAATTAATTTGATTTCTCTACCAAAACAGCCTTTTTGATATCTGCATTTGAATATTAGACACCCTTATGGGCCTAATATGGAAAATCAAACATTTCACAACATACCTTGGATGTTGTCAAAGATTTATGTAGGTAAAGCTGCTCAGAATACTGTGGCCATGTGTTCAAATTCTACAAAATCAGTGAATTATTTATGACCTCCATCCAAGTTTCATTGACCATTTCAGGAGAAATGATCAAAATATTTAAGAATCTGAAGGAAAATTAAGAAGGTCTATGAGACAGCTATTTACCTAGTATCTGAAACTGCTCTCAGTCTTTATGAGGAGGAGATTGCTGTGGTTACTCCTAACACAATTTGTGTTCAGCTCCCAACCTAAAACAAAGATCAGCAGTGCACGTAGAACATAAGCCATGCTCATGGTAACGAAACTATTTATACCCCTGAGGGGAACAAATAATGATAAATAATACGACGCTCCCTTTTCCTGCTATCTGTGTGCAGCCTTAGGGATCCTATGATGGACTATAAAAAGAGGTGGAGAGTTAGTCGGAGGCAGGACTCCAGTGAAGAGTCTTCCCTGAGTCAACAGCTAAGCTGTGGTGGGAATTGGCAGCGATGCCACTGACTTTGACTCAACCATGCTCCTGTAAGTAACTGTTTACTCTCCTCCTCCCAGTGAGCTTAAGCAATGTATTATATTGCAAAGCTTGTTGGGAGAGTTTACTTTTCCGGTGTTGTACTTTTCTTACCAGGAATGAAGGGCATTAATACTTAACCAAGAAAAGCAAAGTCCAATGAATCTGAGAAATATTTTCTAATCATTATTTTAGAGGCAAATGCAAAGTGCATTTATGGATCTGTATTTCTCAAGGAGGAGTAATCTTAGCCTGGAGTCATGTAGCAGCATCTAGAGACATTTTGCATTATTTTAGGGGACTGAAGTAAAGAATATGAATATTACTAACACTTTGTAGTAGAAACCATAATGTGTCTACAACTTTGAATAGTCAGGAGAGACCTACAACATGGAATGATCTACCTCAAAAAATCAAAAATTCAGATATTGACACATTTGATGGGACCACATGAGCCTGTGAGTTCAGTATATGGGACATGTAGAAAGAAGAATGTATCATGTTCTGGCTTGAATAGAATGAACTAAATAATATTTTCTATTTGAGAACAGTGTATACAAGTTTAGGAGATGAATCTATAAAGTTTTGAAAATTTTGCTCAAGTAAAGTATCATTTTAAAAATAGAAAATTTGCTAATATTTGTGCTTTTTCTTACTATTTTTAAGTAAAACATTTGGAATAGCATAAATTGGATTATATGAAATAAAAACCTAAAGTTATTGGATCCTAGCACCCCTTTTAGACTGCTAAAATTCTTCAAATGATAAGTTGAAAAGCAGTAAGTGCACTTATTCTAAACATAAATCTATGAGGTACATAAAATTAATTGGGGAAAACATCATGAGTTTTTTGTATTCAATAGGGATTATCTATATAGAATTATTTTCACTTTGCATATGGTTTTACTGGTATACTGTTATTTTGAGTATTTGAATTTAGGTATTTTTCATGAATATGTCTTTCAAATTCCTCAGTTTATAATGCCTATTTCCAGTTGCATTTATCAAAGATATTGTACAATAAAAGCTTTTCAGACTGGCATCATCAAAGGTAATTGAATTTTGCATTTTTATATCTACATCCTGGTTCATCTTCTTAGGAAAGTAAATTGTTGATATGCTAGTATTCTGTTTCTGTTTATCTTTGGACTCAGCACTTTTCCTAGTTAAAAACCTCAAAACTGAAAGGTGGTTGTTTTATAGGTAAGGGAAGTAGATAAATGAAAGCTAATCGGGCTTCCTGGTCCATGTGCTCAAAGGCAAAACTTGTTATTTACAAATAATAGCTTCTGCTGATACTTGGCATCAAGACTTGCCTCCACATGAAATTCCAAAGTACATAAGATATGAACATAAAAAATATACACGTATGACAGAATTTCCATAGTGTTGTCATTGAACCTTCTCCTCCAGGTAATATATTAAAATAAAAACCCTATGAAATATCAGTTATACTTCTAAGGCTTCCCTTTTTTCAAGATAGTTTGATGATATTACCCAGGGTTTTCTATTCATGGATTACTGTAAACAGCAAGTTCACAGAGAAACCAATTTCAAGCTTTGGGGAAATGTTGAATGAAACTATTACCATGCATGAATGAAAGTCAGTATACAAAATCCTTTTTATGATGGGGTTCTCTCCCTTCTCAGGATTGAGCAACAGGCAGTAATTTGTTTATCCCTACGAAGCAATAAGACACAGTAGAAGGTGTTCTGTCTTTGTAAAAATGGAAGATTTCTAAAGAGTGCAGGACAAGGTTTTTCAGAGAGTGATAGCTGAAAATCAGCCTAAGTGTTCAAGATGTCAGCTTCCTAAAAAGAATGGCTTTTACTCACTCACAATTTACATAAGCTCCAAATATTTGGAAATTTTAATGAATATTCTATTATATTTGATAGAAATCCAAAGATGTGAGAAGTCATCGAATTCTCAAACTGTATTTGTTAATTGTTATTAGTTATTTAGTTTATTTATTTATTACATTTTCACAATGGAAGAAGTTTATTCCCTAGCACAATTTTACAGTGTCAGATCATGCAAGGAAGGACATCGGGCAGAGATATTGTCACTGTTGAGAACCGCAAATGAAGAGTTCTCAGTAGAGCTTTGTTTCTGTGTAGCAGGGACTTTCCTGATGCTGTTGCTGTCAAGCCTACTCCTGTGGGAGGGAGTGGCCTCTGCGCCCATGAATATCAGTAACACTGGCCTTAGTGAAGTGTCCCTCAAAGACCTATTGGAAAATGCCACTATACTGTCTGAGAACATCAGTGACCTTGCTAGAGACATGCGCCTAGAATTTGTAAGTACCTCACTAACCCCAATTCCCAGGAACCTCCCAGATGATGAGTTCATTGTACTATAGTTTAATAGGAAACATAATGCAACCTGTTCCTAATATGCCATTCAAATTTAAAAGAAAGTCTATGGTATTTAAAGTGCAACGAAGAGAATGTGGCAGTTCCATGATATCTCAAAGACTTGTAAAAACTTTCAATAGTTTTCATTAAATTAAATAGTTTTACTTAAAACTGGAGTGGTAGCTCAGTGATTAAAAACACAAAAAAACAGAAATTTGGCTGTTTTTCCAGAGGACTCTGGCCTAATTCCTAATATCCACATGGAGGCTCACAACTCTCTAAGTCCAGTAGGTCTGAGACACTTTCACACTGATACATACAGGCAGAACACCATTGCAAGGAAGAAAGGAAGGAAGGAAGGAAGGAAGGAAGGAAGGAAGGAAGGAAGGAAGGAAGGAA